CTGTCCAGCAGGTGTCCTTGCCGTGATTCACACCTGTCCAGCAGGGGTCCTCGCCGTGATTCACACCTGTCCAGCAGGGGTCCTCACAGTGATTCACACCTGTCCAGCAGGGGTCCTCACAGTGATTCACACCTGTCCAGCAGGTGTCGTCACAGTGATTCACACCTGTCCAGCAGGGGTCCACCATGTCTTTTTGGTTCTTTCACAAAAGTAATATGAAACAACTAGAAACTTTCTAGAAACACTTTTAAAACTCAAAGCTATAATAATCTTCATGGTTGTGAGAGACAGAAAGTGGAATTAAAGGTGAACTCACCTGGATTGGCAACGCGGTCCTGATGTCGGGGGACATTTTCATCAAGTGTCAGTAACATCACCCACATGGTGAATAAAAACATTCCTGCCAAAAACCCATAAAAAATAAGGTAGAAGAGGAGGATGCGACCTGGAGAGAGAATTTAAACATTTACATGAACAGAAGAAAAAACATTGTTCAGTTGTTAAAATTCATGGTTTCCTGAAGGAGTTCCTGTATTTTAACTACATTAAATGTTCTGTGGCGCAGACAGAAGAGCAGAACCTTGTCAACCTTGCCACAAGGACGTTGGTTTGATGCCCAACACCTCCAGTCTGCATTCAGAAGTGTCCTGACTGTGGGAAATATGTGTGATAGTAAAAGTGTTCAACATGTATTACGTTGTCATGTCATTTATGAATGAGTGAATGTGACTTGCACTGTGAATTGCTTTGATCGGTCAATAAGAAACATCTTTATGTAAATATAATAAATATTGTATATATTTAAGTGTTTATTGTAAAATGAGAGAAAAAGTTTCACACATCGACTTATCAGTAAATATGATGCTGCAGCAGGGGGTTATGGGTAATTCAAATATGCTCAATCATGTTCCCTCATCTAGTTCAGCCTAACTGACACCTTCTCTCCAACCAACCAGGATCCCGAGGTGTTCTGATGGGATAAAGGATCCATCACTCTGTTCTGGGTCTCCTCCTTTGATCCTGATCAGATGTTGAACCAGCTAAGCTGGTGAAGCAGTGGTTCTTCCCCCGGAGACCAGTCTATTCTTTCAGTTGCGACTCAGAGACCAGGACCACAGGGTCAGGCTAGGGACCAGGACTGTTGACAGCTGAGGACTGGAGCAGTCAAGGTTCAGTCATGGTTCTGATCATGGTTCAGTCAAGGTTCAGTCAAGGTTCAGTCATGGTTCTGATCATGGTTCAGTCAAGGTTCAGTTTTTATGGTTGTTGGTCCTGGACATGTGATCTGTGATGATGTCATGTTATGTATGATGTCATGTTTTCATAATTATTGTTAGAAATCAATATTATTATTGTGTTAGTTACAATAATTAATAATTCATCATTAAACCCATACCATACCCATATACCCACACAAATTAGAGTGTATCAGGTTTTATTTCTCTCTCTCTCTCTCTCTCTCTCTCTCACACACACACACACACACACACACACACTCTCTCTCTCTCTTACCCCAGCTGCTCGCGGTTCTTCCCATGAACTCTCTGGTTCTCGGGTTGTAAATAAAATAATTAAAAGATTCTTTCTCCTCTTTCTTTTCATTTTTCATCCTCTCATTTTGAACCTCTTTCTCCTCATTGCCTTCGCCGTTCTGCTCACGATCCCGATCCCGTTTCTGATCCTGGTTCTGATCCTGGTCCTGGTTGTGTTCCTGGTCCTGGTTCTGATCCTGGTCCTGGTTGTGTTCCTGGTCCTGGTTCTGATCCTGGTCCTGGTTCTGATCCTGGTCCTGTGGACTGGACGACATGCTCGCGCAACAGATCCGGACTAAACAGAGCGCGAGTTGAACCGGGTTAAAGATCTTTCAGAGAGCGGAGCTGTAGCTGAATACACGCGCGCGCACGGACTCACGCACACATGGAAACACACACACACACGGACGCACACACGGACACACACACACGGACTGCTGCAGAACAAGGTGCATGCGCAGTGCGAGCCCCTGAGGTGTTCATCATGTATGAAACATGCTTATACAACACGTAGAAATATTTAATGCTTTAATAAATTCATAAGATAAATCAATAAATGATGAAAAAAATCGAAGAATAAAGTTACCAGAGTAAATAATGAAAGAAAATTAAAGAATAAACACTAAAGGAAAAATAGAAGAATAAACAGCAGCTCATCATGAATTATATAATCACACAACAGCACACAGCAAGTCACATGACCACAGAGACACGTGATTGGATAAAAAAGTCGTGCTGATCACACACAGAAATACAGACACACACACACACACACACACACACACACACACACAGAGGTAGAAAAGAGGAAATATTTGAGACAACACTTTAGCACAATGGAGGTCATGTGACTCACCTGGGACAATGACAAACTTTAACTGAGGTCAGAGGTAACCCTGCTTGACTTAATCTCTGCATTTTTTTTGTTCTGACATCACATGATGTCATGGTGACAGACCATCATGTGACATCATACCAGATGACGTCAGCAGCAGCAGCAGCAACAGCATGTGAGAGAGGGCAACCAACAGCTCATCTGTTCACACACAAACAACATGGCCGCTCCTTTTCTTATTCTTCTCATTGAAAAAAAAAAACTTAGTGACGTTTTATCCACCCCACCACCCCCAACCCTCCCTCCATCCCTCCCTCTCAGCAGCAGTGGGAGGATGCTGCCTGGTTGCCGTGGTTTCAGTTTCTCGTGACCGTCATCAGGGATGAGTGTGTGAGAGCGATTCTTATAGCTGTGAGGACGTTTGACCGTAGGACAGAGGAGAGAGGAGAAGGAGACGAGGAGGAAGGGAAGAGGAGAGGAGGAGGAGAAGACTACTGGAGGAGAGGAAGAACAGAGGTGTTGAAGGGAGGTTGTGGATGAATGTTGCTGCAGTAAATCGTTGATTCATCGCAGATCTGTGAAGGTGACAAAAATATTTATCTCTTCATCTATGATTCTTTGGAGGGAGGACTAAAGGAGTGAAAGAGAGAAGGAGGGATGGATGAAGGGATGGAGAGATCGATGGATGAAGGGATGAGAGATCGATGGATGAAGGGATGGATGGAGTCTGAGTTGTTACTGATCCTTTGGTAAGCTTTGAATCTTACTTTTGTCGTTTTAGTTTGATTTCATCTTTTTCTGTCATCAAATCTGATCGTGTCAAAAAAGTCGGTTTAATTTAAATCTGACTCACCATGGCCGCCATTTTGAATCAGACTCTAGACCAAATCTGCAGATTTAAAGCTGGGCTTTTATTTTGAAAGAGCTGTATTCATCTCAGTGATATAGAAAGATAAATAAAATAGAAGGTACCCTCCCTCCAGAACAAAAACTAACAAATATAGTCAAATATAATGCCCAATCAACAGTGGTGGTTGGTAAATATTGGACACTGCCACCTCCAATGTCCTGAGAAGAAGAGCCTGTATAAAAATGTTAAATATAATTTCATTATTTAATAATATTTTAATGGTGCAATGCTCCTGGTCGACCGTCAGTACCTGTGAACATTCAATAGAAGTTGTTTTCAAACTGTATTTGGTTCATTTCCGTCTAAAAACATTTACTTCCCGGTGCGGGGCAAACAAATGAAAGTGAACTCCCGCTTTTATTTACAGCCAATATGTATTGATTTACGTTTTTTAATCTAATGTGATTGGTAGACCCCCGACATCGTCGGTATGTCCAACATCACTGAGGTACTTCTGCTGAGAGCTGACAAAGACAATCTGGTGATTTCTTCACAAAAATCCCCCAAGATGAAAAACAGAGGATATAAGATCTTGGTTCCACCTGATTTACAGATTCAGAGATAAGTGATGAAGACGAGTTTACACCTGCTCTGATTCTGAGAAACAGGCGTGATTGGAGTTGGTGTTAATGTATTTTACTGCTTCACCTGTTTGCTGTTTCAAATTGTTTGCACAGGGGAACAATGGACAACGTCATGGATGTGAGACCTGAAACATCTCTCTAAAATATAAAAACATGAAAGTTACCATACCATACTACCCACTTAGACACAATGAGACTACATTTTCGATGAAGACTACAAACCATGTTATGTGTTGTGTTGTTTTTGTTGAGTCAGGCCTCAGTTTGTTTAACCCCCCCCCCAACAAAAAAAAACAGAAATAAAACTCTGCACCCCCAATAAATGTTATCACCAGCCACTGCTGCTAATCAATTTAATCAATATTATTGATAAACCTATCAAAATAAAGGTTTAAAATGTTTCTACTACATGATTGGTTTGAACAAATGATTGACAAGGGCGACTGGGACAGAGGAGGAGCTTTGTAGCAGAGATTTAAACTGGTTTTCTATTTTTCGGATAATCTCGTACTTTTTCAGATCTTTGTGCATGATGGGGAATGTTTTTTTTCTTAACATTGTTTTTGAGTGTGAATCCTGTGAGATCAGTGGTTTTGTCTGTGGTTTCTGGAGGATGGGTTTGGCTGATGCTGTAGGTGCAATTGTGCTCATGCTGCAGCGGGGAGCTCTGTGTGCGCCAGAATGGTGAGCGTTGGCTCAGATGCTATAGCTGTGAATGAGACTGTCAGTGGGGTGGCTGGTTCACAGCCTGGAACAAGAACTGAGAGGGTCGGAGTCAGTTTAAGAAGCTACATGGGTCTGAGGCTGGAGAGAACTCCTGCAGCTCTCAGTCTGCAGCTGCTGCACGTTTACAGACAGAAGAACATGTTGAGAAAGCAGCTTCCTCAGATGCTGCAGCCAGAGATTACACTGAGACACCAATGAGGGTCAGTCAGGTTTCTTATGAGGAAACTAAGGACGACTCAGAGTAAGACAGTATATCCACTGATGAAACTCTTCAGAGATAATATAACTTTCTGGATGAAACAGTGAAAAGTGAAAGACTATATTGAAGACACTGATAGAGTTACTCTCTCAAAAAACACATGACAACTATGAGAAAATGTGCTAAAATTATAACTGTTAAAAGACTAGGAATTAGTTAATATGATCATGCATCATATGGCGTTTTCTTCTCTTTACTGTTTTCTGTTTCTTTCTTGACTTTTTCTCTTCTCTGACTTTTCTATGAGGAGATTAAAACAGGGTTGTTGAGCATCAGTGGAGGTAGAGACAGGTAAAAGAGACACTAATATCTGAGGTCTCTGCTTAAAAACACATACATGTATTATATGACTCCCACAGATGAAGCAGGCTGGGGTTTATGGTGAGGAAGATGAATGCAACAACTCTCATTAGGACCAATTAACCATCGGTGGGGACTTCAACTGCTCTGTAGACTATACTGTGGGCAGGACCAGGGAGAACCTCATCCACAGTTATTTAAGACAACTGAAGGCTTCCACAGGTTCTCTTTCGTGTTTGGAAGGAGAGGGTGAGGTGAGGGGCATTCAGCTGCAACATGCAAGTTCACCACTAGATGTCACTAAATTCTACACACTGTAACTTTAAGGCTAGTCATAATCCCTAAGGGGCAATTTGGTTTTCAAACAGTAGTCATACAACCAAAACAAAACCCATACACATGATAAGAGTACATGAAATACATAGATAGATATAATGAACATGCAGTAATCGTTGAAATAGTTATAAAAAACATCTGGGTAGTATAAGGTTAAGGGTTAGATTTAGCAGTTTCACCAGGAGAAAGGATTAAGTTCTTCTGGTGTTTAAGGGTGAGGGTTAGCCCCCCCTCACACAGTGAATACTTCTCCGGAAAGGCTGTGTCATCGCTCTCATACGTCTGCATCTAGCCCATATCACAACGTAGATCATCAACATGATGCATGCCTAGCAATGATAGTCTGGCACACCCACAACTGCGACTAAAATTATTTTTCCACTCTCTCCCCGAATAATACTACACCCTAACCCTGATATTGTGTTCCCTTCCCTTGGGACTGCTTCCTGAATAGCTTATAGTTCACTGCTGGCTTTTCCAAACATTTTGTTCTGAAAGATGGTGCATTTCCAACTTGGGCCAAACTGGACATACGTACTTGAGGTGCAGGACAGTCTGGATTTCAACCTGTGGTTATGCTTTATTAGCTGTGGATTTGTTAGGCTTGAAACAAACAAGGTGGATAGTACAGAGAGCAGAGTGGTTTTTGCTTGCAACTTTTGCAGCGCCTCAGCTGAACAAATTTCAGGTTGTGGGAAAAAAAAGTGATCTACCACATCTACACTACACCGGCTGCTATAAGCTCAACTGAGAGTCAGTATGCCTTCTAGACAAGATACAGACTTTCAGTGACATATGGGCATTGGGGGGTTTATGTTCTCTGGCTGAAGATGGAGAGCCGAGTATTAATTTCTGATGAGAGTCCTTTTTTTTGGACATTTCTGTTGTCTTCAAATCTGTGTTTGTATTTGAGGGATGTTTTCTCTCTGGTAATGGTTCAATGTAGGGAACCAAACCAAACCTTCTCTCCTCTATTCCTCTACTCTCCACTCTTCTAGAAGGCATTACATCATACTCCTCTAAGAGATGCTGCTGTTGCTAGGTTACGATCAGCTGACTCCCTGTTCCATTTTTAGAGGAAGGATGAGAGACAGAGAGCTGGGGGAGGGGCTACACTGAGAGACAGAAAGACAGAATTTTTATTTTTTAAGGTAACTTTATTCCCTCAATCTTTCAATAAGGCATTTGCAAAAACACATAATTTAAACATTTAAATAAATAAATAATACTCAGGAGGAAAGGGGGTCTGAAAACCCCCATCCAGTGAGTCTTCCTCCTTAATATCATTGCAAACATAAGCAATGATCATGTTAAATAGTAATACAATATACACTGAATGCAGGTTTGCAAATTATAAATGCAAAATAAAACATGCTTACACTTTGACAGATTGCACCCCTCCTCCCAGCCTCATAGTGGTTTGGTCCACTGCTCACTGCACCTACAATTACATTCTAAGTGCTGCATGAAAAAAGGCTGCTATGATGCATTTACTGTATAGTTTTGGAGATAAATTAATTCTTAATTCTTTGAAAGAATAAAAAATTGTGGTTAATGGGTGTTGTTTCTCTACAGCAACTGCAAATAACTTAAGAGAAAGAAAGATATCCAAATTTTGTTCACTGCACCAAAACAACAAGTAAATTATAGGACCCCAGTGATATCAAACACAAGTTTATATAAGATAGAAAGGAAGTGCTTATGGAAATGGTCGGATCCAGGCAGAGAGCCAGGTGACGGGGGCCCAGCACATCATGAGAAACCCACTGCCAGCACCAGCACAGAGAAGGATATGGCCAGAGGCAGCACAGATCATGAGGACCCTTTTATGTATACATAAAATGTATCTGTATATATATACACACACATATAAAGGGATAGGGTTACAGCTATTGGAAGATTTTCCCCCAGGAGGTAGAAGGGGTGTAATGACAGTGTCAGCATCTCCACATCAGGTGTACAGTGTACAGACTGTGCAATGGATTTTGATATTATTACACCACCTACTGTTGACATAGAAGCAGACCCTGCTGCATCTTTCTTTGCCCGACTGCCTGGTTCTGTTTGCCTGCAACATGGTGAAATCATTGAGATGGACCTCGGAGGCTGAGCAGGCCAGTGTTCACGGCAATGATATAGGTGTCCACGATGGACATATCCACTTGAGAATGACTGTCAGTGTTGTAGAGGACAGAAGATCATAGTTGGAGAAGATTGTGTTGGCTGTAGTTGAGTGGTCTGTAGCTGTTAACCTCTGGTTGCAGCAGTGCTGAGGTGTTACTGATGATCCAAAGGATGATCCATAAATGTGATCCAGCATTGTGGACGCAAAACTAGATGTGGGTGACACCTGAATAACTCACAAAAAACACATAAAACATAACTTGATAGACAGGACTGACATGAATGCTTAACAGTAAGAGACTAACTGAGTGACTGTGATGTTGCAGCAGAGAATTCGACGCAGATATAACTCCGGATATAAGGAGATAAAATATGATTTTTTTTCACCTTGACTCCTGTTGACACTTAAGAAGTCCCCTGTCCCCACCCTAACCCCTAACAATCCCTAAACCCTTGTTTTTTATCAATTTTCTTTTTTGTGTGTCATAAAGCTCTATTCCTGAGGTGCTCTGAGCAGGGTTGGGGATTCTCTCCATACCCCTCTCCTGACCCACCTTCAGCTACTGCTTGTTGCCTGTATTCCTCTTAACACTTAAGATGTCCCCTGACCTAACTTTAAACATATGAAGACAGTGACCACTGACTTTTAACCTTTAATCCCCAACAGTATCTAGGTTTTCCTGATCACCCAGTCAGGTCTTTGACGTCATGACGTCTCAGCAGGAGGTGCCTTCCATCACCAGGTTTTTTCAGTATGTGGAGGACTCTGGACTTCGAACCTACGATGGTTTGGTGATACAAAATGCCTCGGATATTGCCAGAGAAAGTGACCGCATTCGTAATCAGACCAACTGGACCTACCTGCAGGAAAAACACCAAAAGAAGAGATGGCAGCAAGAAACCATCAGGTAGGAAATACAAAAACAAATAAAGATCCAGATGTTGCTCTCAGGTCACATTTTGTGTGTTAACAATTGTAAATTATCTGAACATCAGTTGAAAGCTACTTAAAAACAACAACATGACAACAACATAACTAATTCAGAGGTTAGTATGTTAAGACACAGGGAAATTAAAAGAGGTGTACTGAACACCAGTGTGCTGTAAATTTGAATGATAGCAGTTATTTTTGTTTCAGTGTGATGCATACATTTATTATATATATCATTTGTGTAAATGGATCATGATTGTTTGACCTGTCATTCAATCCACTTAGGATTGGTGAAGATGTTGCCATAGCAACAGATGTGTCATACTCTGGAAGACATTTCAGGATGGGTTTCATGACAATGCCAGCACCACAAGACCGATTGCCCCCTCCAAGTCAGGGCTTCACAGTCCGATCCCAGTCCCTCCACTCTGTGGGGGGAGGAGAGGACGAGTCCAACCACAACCGAAAACAACCCCCACCCAAACCGAAGAGAGACCCTAACACCAAACTTAGCAGCAGCTCTGAGATGGTGAATGGAGGCTCTGGACCCATCAGGAGAGATCAACAAGAGACCAAAGAGATGATGGAGCAGCTGGAGGGTGAGGAACCCTCTGACTTATGCATTTAGTTTAAATTTAGTGTAAGTGGAGTTTAAATGATGATAATGATTGTTTTCAGACTAAATGATGAAAGTGTTTCATCATGTGCTGGTTTGATCAGTATCAATCTGTCTGTTATTTTTGTTCTTGTTACAAGTCTAACATTAACAAGAAGTCACAGAGGAATTGTTGTAAATCTCTCTTACTGTGTGTTCTTCTGCAGCTCAATGCCCTGTCTACACTGATGACTACAAGAAGATGCCTCCACCTAAACCTAAGAGGAACCCAAACACTCAGCTCAGCACCTCCTTTGATGAGTCCTACATTCATGACCATGCCAACAAGAAGTCTTCTTTGAGGTGGTGTAAATCTTCATCCCAGAGTCAGAGTCCAGTATCCAGGGACATGGACGACGAGGAGCCAGTGTATATTGAGATGGTCGGAAACATCCTGCGAGAGCTGAAAGGTCAGGAAGTGGTGGAGGATGATCAGAGTGAGTCTGTGTATGAGGAGATGAAATATCCAATGTTGGAGGACTTTGTGCAGGACAATCCCTCTGCCATCATGGATCATGATGCCTGGTCCCATGAATCTTTCTGTGAAATCCCTCCACCCTTTCCGAACCTCTTGACACATCGTCCACCTTTGCTCGTCTTCCCCCCTGCCCCAGCTCAGTGCTCCCCCAACTCGGATGAATCTCCCCTCACACCATTAGATGTTACCCGACTTCCCATGTTAGAGCAAGTCTCCTACAGCAAATCAGGTGGTGTTGAATCCCCACAGAGCTCAAGCCACCACCGCAAAGACAGAGATCGAGACAGAGACCTCTCCAGCAACACCATCACATCCTCTGGCCGATCATCAGCTCCTCCTCTCGCATCAAACCTCTACAAGTCATCTGGCTCGGCCCACAGTGGTCATGGTTACCCCCGTAGCCAATCAGCATGTCCATCTCCGGTCAGCATGGGTCGCTCTCTGACCCCTCTGAGTCTGAAGAGGCCACCGCCATATGACACATTGACAACTGGCGGAAATATACCTCGCTCTTCATCTTCATCATCTTCACACAAAGCAGGCGGAAGCAGATCTAAACTTAGTAACTCCTCCTCCACCCACAGTTCCATGCAGAATGTTTCAATAAGGACTCCAACAAGCCCATTGGACGAACTTAACAATGTGTTTACGTCAGGTCGACAGGTGGTGAAGAGAAGTTCAGGAAGCAGGAAGAGCAGAGAGAGTGAAGGTAAGAACTTTCTGCCGAACATAGTTTGGAATAATCAGGCTCAGAGCAGATGAAAGCTGGAAAATTTATATTAAAAATATGAATATCAAATATAATAACTTTAGTTAATTAAAGTTACCTCGGGGGAACCACCCTTCAAAGGAAGGGAAAAGATAACCAATTTATTGATTAAGTCTCATGAAGTTACTGACTACAAATTTGGAACTCTGATTAATAGTTAAATTAATAACTATAACCAAAATTACCACATCATTAGCTGGCACAGCTGAAGGATATGGAGTTCTTGACAGTGTAGAGGTTGGCAACATTCACCCTTATGCAACATTAATGAAGACAACATGTGTTAAGAAAAACATTTATTATGAAACTAATGGAAGCATAAACACACAAACTAACTAAAGGTGTACTTACTATATACAGAAGTGCAAATGTGTATGCCAGTATGAAGACAAATGCCCCCAGGAGTGGTGGGACCATGTGGCCGAGATCACATGTATGTGTGACGTGTTGGTGCCAGGTTAGAGTTGTTGCATTCAAAGAAAGAGTCTGATTCTATTAACAGCATAAGAGAACTAACATTAGCTTTCAAATAACGTATTGTAATAAACCTTGTCTCAGATATGAGAATGTAGAGAGCATGCACACAGAAGGATTAACTCACACATGCTATCTGGGCACATACAAAGGCACTTGAGGATTTAATCAAGGTCCCTCAGCTGTTTTCCCCGACCCGGTACTAGGCTTTAAGCCGGCTCTTAAAATCAATGACATTTAACATTTAATTTGATTTTTAAAGGCTTTGAATGTGAGGAGCAGGATCCTGATATTCTGAATTTTACAGGGAGCCGATGTAGAGAAGCTAAGCCAGGAGTAATATGATGACAATCAGAGGGAAACTTCCTTAAAAAGTCCAGTTGGGACAGAGTCTAAAAGACAAGTTGTTGGTTTACATGATGAAACTAATCAGTCAGTTCAGAAGGTCAACAGAAGAGAAATGGTTCAAACATAAATCTGGTTCTATGGTTCCAGGACCAGACAATGTATCTGTGCTCTTCATGGGGAGGAGGTGGTGGATCTGATCCCTGATGGTTATAATTTGATTTGTGAAGAAGCTCATGAAATCATTGCTTCTCAGAGTTAGAGGAATAGATGGGTCAGTAGAGGTGTGACTTTCTGTCAGCCTGGCTACAGAGCTGAAGAGGAACCTGGGCTGGTTCTGATTTTCTTCTATTAATAATGAATAATAAGAGGTTCTGGCATTTCTCAGTGCTTTCTTGTGATTCATCAAGCTATCCTTCCAGGCTAGGTGAAAGTCATGTTGACTGGTGGAACGCCACTTCCTCTCAAGCTTCTGTGATGTTTAAAACATGTGTTTGAGAATTATACCACGGAGCTGATCTCCTCTGATTTACCTTCTTCTTTTTTAGCAGGCGACAGCGTCAAGGGTTGTTTTTTAATGAGGCTGCTGTTCTATTAACAAAGTTATCAACTAATGTGGGAGTAAAGTTTTGATAACTTTCCTGTATTGTACTGACACATGGCTGAGAGGTAAGTCTAGAAGGAAGCAGTTCTTTACATGTGTTCACAGTTTTATCAGATAAACACCGACTATCATAGAATTTCTGTCCAGAACCAGTGTCGTCAATAATTCTAAATTCAAATGTAATTAAAAAATGGTCAGACAGAAGAAGGCTCTGTTGAAATATTATTACATGTTCAATGTCTATGCCATATGTCAGAACAAGATCAAGAGTGTGATTCAGACACATGTTGAGTGAAACCAGTCGAGTCTGTTATTGAGTTGAAAGCTGAACTAAGGCTGTTGTTAGCAACATCTACATGGATGTTGAAATCACCTTCTATAATGATTGTATCTGTCCTAAGAACTAGTTTTGATAGAACTTCAGAGAATTCAGATACAGACTTTGAGTAAGGGGCAGGAGGACGATATATGATAACTAGATGATTGGTTGATGTGACTTCAAGCTTGGATGGATGAGGCTGATTATAAGATTTTTAAAGGAGTTATAACTTTTGGTTGAGGGTTGATGGATAAGTCAGATTTAGAGATTGCTTCAACCCCTCTACCTCTGCCTTGATCGAGGAGTATGAGTATTAATATAGCTTGGGGGCGGTGCTTCATCTAAACCTACATATTCACCATCTTGCAGCCTTGTTTCTGTAGTTAATCGATCTGATAATCAGTAATCAGATCATTAATAAGTAATGATTTTGTATTGAGTGACCTGATGTTTAATAAACTTTATTTTATACTTCTGTTTTTTGTTCTGATATATTGGTTGGTTGAACTTTTATTAGGTTTGAATATATTACTCCTGTCCTGTTTGCTTTTGATTTAATGAATGTAGGTGGTCGGGGGGGGGCAGACACAGTTTCTATAGGATATCGTGCGGGTGACTGTTCAAATAGAAGCGCGGAGTAGCTGTAAGACTGCGACTCTGCCTCCTAGTCTCAACTCTGGATTGTCACGGTGTGGACTGTCTAACAAACGTTGTCATGTTTCTAGATATGAGAGCTGCTCCATCCCAAGTGAGATGAATACAATCTCTCCTCATCAGACCAGGTTTTCCCGAAAAAGTTTGCCAATTATCTACGAAGCCCACGTTGTTATTTGCACACCACCTCGACAGCCAGCGGTGAAAGTAATGATCATGTTTTTCAAAATAGAGTCACCAATAACCAGAGTTTGTTCCTCAGCGGGTGCGTCGCTGAGTGGGGAAAATTTATTTGAGACGTGAACAGGTTGGTGGTGAACCAGGAGCCTCGGTTTAGGACTACGTGTCTTATTTTGCACAGTCTCCCAGCCGACCTGGCAGCTATCTATCTATCTATCTGTCTAGCAGTCTGTCTATCTATCGTTCTGTCTATCAGTCTATCTATCTAACTGTCTGTCTGTCTATCTGTCTATCAGTCTATCTATCTATCTATCTATCTATCTATCTATCTATCTATCTATCTATCTATCTATCAGGATCCTTTATTGTCAATGTCCAACATTGTCACCAACATTAAAACAGTGAAAATTGTTTTAGCAGCTCTTCTTGTTACAGCAGCATTTAACTGATTTTCAGAACAAGAATCAAGAAGTAAAAATCTAAATGTAATTTTTTTTAAATAAAAACACAGCTAAAGAGAATAAACATAGTAAAGTGTAACAGAGTAATGACGACAATTTGTACAGTAGAGTACCTGAGTATTAGTGCATAATGATTCCGTGCAAAATTACAGCCTCAGAAAAAAGAATTCACAGTGAATGTTTTCTCGTTGGGTAGACTGTGTGTGTGAGTGTGTGTGTGTTGTTTAAGACAGTTCTTGGATAGATTGTGAAGGGGTGTGTGTGTATGTGTGTGTATGTGTGTTGTTTACAGTCCTTGGATAGAATAGGAGAGGGGGTAGGTGTGTGTGTATGTTGTTTAACCTTGGAAGGTATGGGTGGAGGTGGGGTGATGGTCTGTCTGTCTGTTTGAACATTTGTATCAGCAATTCACTGTGCTGTTTCACTGACTGGGTGAGGGGACTATGGCCCCAGAGGAGCTACAGCAAGAGGGGGGGTCAACAGGAAGTAAATCATTGTTTATTTAAAACATTTTTAAAGAGAAAAATTAAAAAAACACTTTCCACCAGGGAGGGTGGCACCCTAGCACCCTCTATTGGCCAGCTGCCACTACATTTCACCTTCCTTCAAGTTCGAACTGAGTAATGGGAGATTTTAGATATTAACCCCTCTTGGGTCTGTACCTGTGTTGAGTCGTTGCTAGGGTCAGCTGGTCAGAACTCAAGAAGGTGAAATGTCTTCAAGAAATACAAGCAAGAACAAGCATGTTCAGTTTTACATGTACACTTGTAAAACGTCTGAAGATAATAATATTATTATTATAAGGCCGAAGCACTTGCTGTGTTATTTAAATTGCTCCAATTCCTCTTCTTATAAATGAATCACCTTTTAGGAATGTGCATCCCAAAAATTACTCATTAGCACCTCCTACAAATTTTCACAAAGGGTCTTCCTAGAAGAAATCTTGCCACTCTTCACCACACCCAAGAGGAAGACAACCATGCTGTGTAGAAATTGATAGAGAGACCTCGTAACTGAATCGTGACTAATAGTCAGCAAACACTCTCGAGCACCATCCGATGGACGCATGAACATGCTGCAGCATGTTGGCTGCGACACAGTCATTCCCCACTTAATACCTTATGCAGCACTTTTTATTATTATAATTATTATTTGCTGCAAGTGCTGCAGTTTTCAAGTTCAGGTTCTTCTCAAAGAGATACATTAGTATAACTTATGCTTTTATAGTTAATAACTAATGTAAGTATTTAAAACAGATTGATAATAAGTAAAATCTTTTTCAATTAATCAAAGTCTTTTACATTCTTTATTTGAAGTAAGTTTTCATCTTTAGTATTTGTGTCTCTGTTTTCTTGGACAAATAAGTGAGTCTGACGGTTGAATTGTGTCTTTATGACACACATTTTTTGTTTGTTTTGTGTCTGTAGACTACAGGTCTCTGCCTCGACGTGACAGTAAAGACAAAGATGGACCATCCAGTCCCCATTCTAGCAGGATGGGGAGGTCATCTGTCAGCCCCACCATGATGCTGTCTGGAGGAGGAGTTGGGGGAGGTCAGTAATCCTCAGAACCTCAGGATGTCGAACGGGCCATCACTAATCAGATGGTGGTTCATCAATTCAATTGTGTCCTTTTTTTTTCTGGTCAACTTTATTTTGACTGTAATCGGAGAAAGCCCCACAAAGGTGGATGTCAGGTTAAAGTAAGGTCATATGATAAAGTTTTTTATAAATTTATCTGGGCTGGTAAGAAACAAAGAGCTTATAGAGCAGTACAGACAGGAAGCAAAAGAAATGGGGGCCTTGCCTAATCTGTTATTCTATTATTTTGCAACCAATATTGAAAGAATTTGGGCCTGGTGCAACTTGTCTAACCTGGATTTGTGTATAATGGAGGAAAATGCTTCACATCCTTCTTCACTTGCTGCTCTGGTCTGTGCCCCTCTGGCCTCCTGTTGTCTCTATTAAATTAGTATCTCAGTAGTCCTTTCCTCTTTGAATCTAGAAACAATATAGGCAACATTTCAATCTTTCCACCACCTCCACATATAACCCTAGTTGTAACCTTCACCTGTTTCTCCCTACTAAGTTAGATACAGCTTTTACTCTGTGGAGAGATAAAGGTCTGACTTGCTTCTCAGATTTTTAACATTTCTTCCTCAGCATTCAATGGATTCTATGGTTTTTGTGGGGCCTTCGCTCCCTGAGAAATGTGTTATGATCTCAACTTTATATAAGTTTATATCATCTCCGAATGTGGTCTCTAATGTGGAGGTTAGCGTTAGCATTAGGGTTTGGAGTTAGGTGGTGTTACTTTATACCCACACCACAAGAATGGTGGGAGGGGGGAAAGCGCTGTAACAAATCTGTACATTATATTTGTTATTTGTACAATAGTGCTTTGAAAAAACATGAATGAATAGAGAAAAACATGTCGAGTACACGTCAGTTATACATCAAGTGAAGGTCAGGTGAAGGTCAGGTGAAGGTCAGGTGAACGTCAGGTGAACGTTAGGTGAACGTCGGGTGAACATCAAGTCAACATCAGGTAAACGTCATGTGAACATCAAGTCAACTACAGGTGAACGTCAGGTGAACACCAGGTGAACGTCAGGTGAACACCAGGTGGACATCAGGTGAAGGGCTTCTCTGTTTGTGTTTATTGATGTGAAATGATTTTATCTGCAGAATCAAAGTCTGTTTGTAAACTTGGTCGTTCAGCCTCGACGTCAGGAGTTCCTTCACCTGGAGCGACACCACAACGTTACCTGCACGAAGCGCATCACCCTGCCCTTAGACAGGTACACCTGTCTGTCTGACACCTGTCTGTCTCACCTGCATAATACCTGTCCATGTCACCTGTCCATCTCACCTGTGTGTCTCATCTGTCTGTCGAGAGGCATCTGCTTGCAAACCTCCACTATGAGGTCACATCTGGCGCAGGCTCCGCTCTCAGGACACCTCCACTGTCAGGACAGGAAACAACAAAGGACTGATTTGCGGCACAGTCGTTATTTTTTTCAGCGGTAAGTGACTAATTTGCATTATCCTTTAAAAGGTTGAACGCATGGGTCTTGCATGTTTTTGCCTTCAAAATATATAGCTACCACTGTCAATAAGTGTATGACTAAAGCTCAATTCATACTTCTGTATTGCATAGATGTGTACCATACTCAGAGCCCCACGCTTTACCCTGACGTGCACCTCACCAAAAATGTGCCTATGCGTTGAGGCAATGCAGACCAAAAGTGATTGGTCCACTTGATAACATTGCAATTCAAGCAGAATCGTAGCTTCGTACCATCGATGCAGAATTATGAATTAACCTTAAATCATACAAATTACTAAATGCTACACATATATGGAGGTTATTTGTTGTTTTACAGTTAGTTAGCGTAAAACCAACAGTGGCTAGCGTTATCTGTTGAGGTTTTATGCTAGGCTTAGCTTTTTTCTGTGGATATTGTAAAATAACTGTTTATACTGCGAGTTTAGGCAATGGCTTAGGTCTGCTTTTGTG